GGCACCATCTAGCTGTACTGGACTCAGTCTGGTGGAGGCCTTGGTAGCTGTGGTCCATTAGTCCTTTGGACTAATCTTTTCCTTGTATGCTCTTTCCTGTCTTTTTAATAACCTTTTGCTTTCTTCTTATATGATGTCCTTGATGTCATTCCACAACTCATCTGGTCTTCGGTCATTAGTGTTCAATGGGTCACATGTATTCTAGAGATGGTCTCTGAATTCAGGTGGAATATACTCAAGGTCGTATTTTGGCTCTTCCGGACTTCCTGTAATTTTTTTCAGCTTCATCTTGAACTTGCATATGAGCAATTGATGGTCTGTTCAGCAGTCGTCCCCTGACCTTGTTCTGACTGATGGTATTGAGCTTTTTCCATCGTCTCTTTCCACAGATGTGGTTGATTTGATCCCTGTGTATTCCATCTAGTGAGATCCATGTGTATAGTCGCTGTTTGTGTCATTGAAAAAAGGTATTTGCAATGAAGAAGTTGTTGGTCTTACAAAATTCTATCATTTGATCTCCGGCATCGTTTCTGTCACTAAGGCCGTATTTTCCAACTACTGATCTTCTTTGTTTCCAACTTTCACATTCCAATCACCAGTGATTATCAATGCATCCTGATTGCATGTTCAGTCAATTTCAGACTGCAGAAGTTGGTAAAAATCTTCAACTTCTTCATCTTTGGCCTTAGTGGTTTGTATGTAAATTCGAATAATATTTGTATTAACTGGTCTTCCTGGTAGGCATGTGGATATTATCCTATCATTGACAGTGTTGTACTTCAGGATAGATCTTGAAATGTTCTTTTTGACAATGAATGTAACGCCATTTCTCTTCAATTTGTCGTTTCTGGCATAGTAAACCATGTGATTGTCTGATTCAAAATGGCTAATACCATTCCATTTCAGCTCAGTAGTAATGCCTAAGGTACCAGTCTTTATGTGTTCCATTTCTTTTTTGATGACTTTTAATTTTCTAGATTCATACTTCATACCTTCCATGTTCTGATTATTAATGGATTTTGCAGCTGTTTCCTCTCATTTTGAGTCGTGCCACATCAGCATCTGAAGCTTGACTCCATCCATGTCGTGAAGGTCAACTCTACTTTGAGGAGACAGCTCTTTCCCAGTCATATTTTGAGTGCCTTCCATCCTGAGGGGCTCATCTTCCAGCACTATATCAGACAATGTTCTGCTGCTATTCATAAGGTTTTCACTGGCCAGTTTTTTCAGAAGTAGACCTCCAGGTCCTTTTTCCTAGTCTGTCTTAGCTTTGAGGCTCCGCTGAAACCTGTCCACCATAGATGACCCTGTTGGTATTTGAAATACTGGTATATAGCTTCCAGCATCATAGCAACACACAAGCCATCACAGTACGACAAACTAACAAGTCAAGTGGTTAGCGGTTTCCCACGTGGGAGATGAGAATTCTACATTGAATCACCAATGTCTCATGTATAAACTCTATCACAGCTTTTTTGGTGGTCTCTCTGCGCCATCATCTAGCTGAATCAGTGTGGGAGGCATGGTTTTAAAGGGCTACTAGTCAATGATTTTAAAGGGCTTTCTGTATGGAAGTGTCCCTCCTTACATTCATTTGTATGCATACTCCTCTAAAGATTGTGTTTTAGCATTTATTTTAACAACACATATCAACATGTATTGGGGCCATGATTTTAACTTAAAAGGTGGTTTTGTGTCATTTTGGTTTTGTTCATAAGTAAAGAATGAATTAATAGTTTCTTCAAGTTTTGGAAGAATTTCAAAGCGATGAAAAAGTGTTGAGTTTTGGAATACTAACAGAGTTTTAGAAATCCAATGTATCAAGCTTTTCTTAAAATAATAGAGTTGGCTTTATCTTTAAACCATAGAATTATAATTTTTTTTAACTTACTTTTACAGAAAAAGACACTATGGATGTATGGTGCAATGGTAAAAAAATGGAGACTGCAGTAAGTTGACTTTTTTATTATTCTTAGGGCATGCGTAGAAGTTACCTTTGAAATTTTGCTGTGTTTCCAAATTATGGAGATTTTATAATTAATCAAGATTCTCTTGGTTGAAAACAAAAACAATATTATGTCTCTGACTCCAAATTCCAGAGATCTTTCTGAGACAGTGCCTGAGCAGTGAGAGTTTAGAAACAAATTAAGTTCTAAGTTGGCACCAACCTCACACTTACGATTCCTCTCCTGGACCAGCACCTGTCCTAAAAAGAGTTCCCAGGTTAAAAAATTTCTCCCCCAGAGTTTGGTGTGCTCCTGTGTAGTGTATCTATGTTAAGTACTTAAAAAAAAAAAAAAAATAACTGTTAAGTCTGCTTCTCAGACTCGTATCCATAGAAATTACCTAGGGATCTCTTTAAAATGCAAATTCTGATTCTGACATTTCCTGAGGTGATGCACCATGCGGCTGATCCACAGGCCACACTTTGAGTAGGAAGTCTGTACACAATATACGCAAAGCAGGTAGTACTTTTCTAAAGGTGGAATTTTTAAAAAGAAGTGACACACTCAATGTCAGATAACATAAAGGCAGACAGGAAAGGGCATTGTCATAAACCCCAGAAGATAAGAGGAATTTGTGGACCAGTAGTGCTGAGGTTGGGAGGAGGAGGCTGCCCACTCATTGTGCAGTGAAATCCCCATCTAAACACTGTTGTGTTTGGCTTTTGCTATCGGGTGCTTGTATTGTCCTGGCTGTGGATGGGATGAATGTAGAAGTGAACTCCAAAAGCGAATGAAATAATAGTGGTAGAAATAAGCAGGCACAGGAGAGAAAGTGGAAGAAGAGACTATCTTGTGAATCAGGGAGCGTGGAAAGAGAAACTGGAATCACTGGATGGAAATTCTCAGTGTTAAGGGGTCTACTGCCCAAAGGCTGACTGCCCCACCTTTCATGATGGCTCCAGGCCTGAGCACCATGACTAGAGATGATGAGAAGCTCTCTTCTCTGATTATATTTTAGCCAGTTGCACATCATAGTTGCTGCCCTCGTTTATCTGTTATGGGGATGGGAAGGGGAGGTAAGGGGTAGAGAGAAGGAAGACTGGGATGAATTTATCCAGCAGACTACTTAGCCCATACTTGCTGTTGTGGCTAATTGCTTCTGAGGAGGTGCTAAAGCTAGAAATCAAAGTTACAAAGATCAGGCTTTTCTGTTTCTTAATCCTGGTTCTAGTTCTTGAAGAGAAATTTAACTTGGGCTCACTCAAAATTAACTCTCAGTGGTGGAGCTACTCTCTGGGTTAAATCCACTACTGATAGAGACTTATTTTACACAGAGAGGCTTGGAGAGCTGTTTAATATTTTATGGACCCATTTGAAACAACTTTAGTTGCCATCAATATGGGTCAGGTACCTACTTTGTACTCGGTGCCATAGCTAGTGGCCCTTCCTATTCTGTCTTCCCTAACCCTGGAATTCCCTAGATGGCAAATCAGCACTATTGAATCATACTCTACCCCCTAACCCCGTCCCAAGAATATATAAATATATTTATAAATATATTTATATAAATATATATATAAAAAGAATGTTTTATGGTAGTTGTGTGGTTGTAAATAAGTAAATAAACTGAAAATAATGTTTATCCACAATGTCTTTGTTCCTTAGTAATCGAAAGGAAACCACAGTGTTTGGAAAATTGCTCTTTATAACCCAGTTGCCTTCTCACTGTAACTACAATTAGCTGGCAGGGCAGTTTTAGCAAGCTCAGTATCTGGGCAGCCTTCCCCAGCTCTGTGCACACCTGCAACTAACTACTCTTGCTGCCTGTGAGTGACAGCTTCTTCTCTCCTTTTTCTTTTCATCTCACAGCATCATGACTATGATTATGTGTTTGTCAAATTGCCCTACCCTCCTAACTGATTTTTACAGAAGAGTGACCTAGACACTTTTTTCAAGGCTCAGTATAAATAGGATGAGAAGGAAAACACTGCGCGGAAGGGCACTGCTTGTGGAGTGGTCAGTACACCTCCCATAAAGAGCCACTGGCCAGATTCTTCTCAGGGCTAGGAAAAAGCTTCTCTGCCTGATGCAGCCTGTGCTTCCTTTGGTGAGATAGTGTTAGCTGTAGGACTTTGCCTTTTTTTTTGCTTTATCTCGTAGCCAAGTTTTAAGTCCAGTTGTGGTTTCTTTGCTTTTTTGGCATGATTCATTTTTAACCACTAAGCCTCTTTACCTTCCTTCCTTGACTCTAATCATTTTACTCTAGATCAGCGCTGTGCAATAGAAATATGACTCACAAATATGAGCCTCATATGTAACTTTTTTTAGTAGCCATGTTAAAAATTTTTAAGGTGAAATTAATTTTAATAATATTTTCTTTAAATTGATAAATAAAAAGCATTGTCATTTAATATGTAATCAGTATAAAAAATTATTAGTTACTTTACATTCCTTGTTTCATGCCAAGTCTTCAAAATCCAGTATACACTTCCAGTATAATGCATTTCAGACTCTCCACATTTCAAGTGCTCCATAGCTGCATGTGGCCAGTGGCTACTATATTAGACAGCACAGGTCTAGATGTAGTAGTGTTTGGTTTTATATTATCTAGGTATTTTATCATGAGCCACCTTATGCCTGAGGAATCAGATTTTCAAAATGGTTAAGAGCACTCCATCATTTACTGCTACCTTCAGCAAGTTATTTAACTATCTTGTGCTTCAATTTCCTCATCTGTAAAATGGGGATAATAGTACTTTTATCAGGGTTATTGTGAAGACACAGTGAAATAATCTATGTATACTATTCCTTGTGTACTGTGAGTAATAAATATTTGCTATCAAGATTACCATTTTTATTTTTGAAAATCAGCTATATGTTTACATAGTATGTGCTGTAGACATATAGCCATGAGATGTACTTTTTTCCCCTAAAATTTGAGTTTCATACAGATTGTAGGGAGTAGAAGAACTTTGAAATCATAAAAGAACTGTATAAACATCTAAATACAAGCTTCAGACTTCAATTGTGCAAAGCTTACCTTTTAACTACTATGTATTTTATACCACCAGTACTTTTTAGATGGTGTTAATGTTCTAGGCAGAAAGAAACATTTCTGGAACACTAATTCCTTTTTCTTCTTTTGGCCTAGGGTGAGTTTGTAGATGATGGAACTGAAACTCACTTCAGTATTGGGAATCATGACTGTTATATAAAGGCTGTCAGTAGTGGGAAGCGAAAAGAAGGGATTATTCATACTCTCATTGTGGATAATAGAGAAATCCCGGAAATTCTTGAATGACTTCATGTTAATGAATTTTAATCTTAAGAAGTAAAGAGCAGGACTTTTTAATTACTGTGGTAATTAAATGTGTTCAATATGTACTTCTCAGTACATTTAGTCTGTGCTGTTCTTATTTTTTAGTTACTTGAACTAATGTTCCAAGGGTTAGGGGGAAACAAACTAATTATGTACAATCATAAATATTGCAATTTATTTTGTAAATAATGTAAAATGTTTTAAGGCCAAATGGAAAATAAGATATGAACCAAAACCACTGTCTTACAAGAGGAACCTTTACTATAATAAACACTATAAAATTGGTGCTGCTTGATTTGTGTTTCTAAAATCTGACAAGTCTTCATATATTTTTAACCTGTGTAGATAGGCTGCCTTGCTAGTTTCAAGTGGATGGTACATAATAATGCAATAGATTTAACTAGAGAAAATGTGAAAAACTTTGTATCTGGAAACATATTAAGGAAACATCAAATAGTGTCACATAATAATTTAATTTTAAAAAATGTGGGTTTCTGAAAATGTGGTGGTTTTGTTTAATCAGCATGGTGAAGACAAAAAAAGGAAGAAGCAAATGTCTTTAGACCAGACTGCATCAGGTGCATCCTCAGCCCATGTTTAAAGAAAGACTCAGAGTTGCATACCAATGTCTGATAGAAGCACCAGTATCAGACCTTTTGTGACTGAATCAGGCCTGTCACCTCCCTTGACATCTTCACCGAGTCCAATCCAAACATCTCACAGAGACCAGCCAGGTCAGTACATTAAATGATTAAGGGTCTGTACATTAAGGGATTGAATGTCTTTCAAGGCAGAATATAGGTTAATAATAGAGGCTTGTATTTGGGTATTTCACATTCATTATCACATGCTGAGAGCCCTGGTGGCACAGTTAGCTGGTTAGCTCAGGCTGCTAACCAAAAGGTTGGCCAGTTTGAATCCACCAGCTGCTCCTTGGAAATCCAATGGGGCAGTTCTGCTTTGTCCATAGTGTCCCTCTGAGTTGGAATCGACTCAACAACAATGGGTTCTGGGCCAGGCAGGCAACACGCTTGGTGACAGAGTTAGCATATTAAAAAGGCTTTGTCTACTTGCTTCCTCTAACATCTTTTTTATCTTAAAATCTTCACAACTGGCAGGTCAGCATATTACCTTCACAAAAATCATCCACCTGGTCTCCCCACTGCACTCCCCAGCTATGCTGGAAGACTAGGAGATGACTGAGAAGGATTCTCTGAGGGCTATTAAACTCTCATTTGGGTTTGCTTTTAAGTATTTAGGTATTGTGGTTTGTTTTCATTTTTCTTGACTAAATAGCTTGTGTTAATGGCCATATATTATCTAGTACAAAAATGTATTGTGCCATGTCCAAAAGCAGAGCAATTATTCTAGGCATTTTATTTTGAACTTAGTTATTAGAGGTCAAAACCTGTGCTTTTCAGTGGATATCATCTACCTTAGCAGTCAGTTGGAGGTATAGTTTGATTCAATCTTTGTGGAGACAAGATTTTGAGAATGCAGTTTTGCCTTTAAGTTGGTGAACCCATGTTGTGATGTTTATTTTGAAGCAGCATAATATTGTGGAAAGAATACAGACTGGGTTTGAAGTTTGGCACAGCAGATGAACTTCTTGAGCCTCAGTTTCCTCATCTAAAAAAGTGAGGCTATTATTTGTTTTGTTCCTTGTTTAATGAGGTATTTCAGATGTAAAATAGGAAATAGTTGTATTATTAACCTATTACCCAGTTTAATAACTGAAGCATTATCAACACAACTGTAGCTCCATGTACCCTTGGTGTTTATCATTCCCAGGCAAGTCTGTATTTATCCCTAAACAATGTTATTATTACCCAGTTTTAAGTAGTATATTGTATCCTTCCTGCAACTTGCTTTTTTCTCCCTCAACATTGTTTTTGAGATTTAATTCAGGTTGCTGTGTGTAACTCCAGTTCCTTTAATTTTTGCATTGAACCATATAAATTCAGCCATCTATACTCATACGTTGTTTTCAGGTGATCATTAATACTATCAGGGCTCTAAGGAGCATCCTTGTGGGAGTTTCTCTCTGGCCTTGCTACTTCAGTGTGCTCCCTGGACCAGCAGCAGTGACATCACCTGGAAGCTTGTTAGAAATGCGGAATCTCAGGCCCCACCCCAGACCTACTGAATCTGTTAACAAGATCCCATGGTGATTTGTCTGTACATCAAAGTTTAAGAAAAACTGCTCTAGGTATACTCAGAGGTGGAATCGCTTAATCAAAGGATAGGTGCATCTTCAATATTATTAAATATTTGCCAGATTACTCTCAAGGGTGGTTGTACTGTTGTATACTTTGACAAACAGTAGAGTTTTCTTTTCCTCACATCTTCACCAACACTTGATATAATCAGGCTTTTTTTCTCAATATGATGAATTAAAAAAATAATGGTCTCATTTTTATTTTCTCTGATTACTAGTGAGGTTGAGTATCTTACTTCTTCATTGGCCATTCAGCTTTCTTTTTCTGAGAACTGTCGTCTTTTCATTTCTTTTGCCTATTTTTCTGCTGAGTTGTCTGACATTTTCTAGTAGATTTTTTTTTTAACATATATTCTAGAACTAATCCTTTGTAGCTTTTCCCTTATAGCAGTACAAAATATGCAATAGATCAAGTCTCCCTGTCATCCCTTCAGTTTAACATGCAGCATCTATTTCCTCTAATGAGCTCTGAGGAGGCAAGGACCACAAACTGCTGTATCCCCCAGGACCAAGCACATTCTTCACAAATGGTAGGCAAACCGAAAACCAAACCCGTTGCCATCGAGTTGATTCCGACTCATAGCGACCCTATAGGACATAGCAGAACTGCCCCATAGGGTTTCTAAGGAGTGCCTGGTGGATTCAAACTGCCGACCTTTTGATTAGCAGCCTTAGCTCTTAACCAGATGCTAGGCAGTGGGATTCATATTACTGCAGCTCAGAGGACAGGTCTGGGCTGGAGATATACATGTAGAATCAGCATATGTGGAACATACCGGGTATTTAAAGCAATGGGAATGGCAAAGATCAACTAGGAAGCTTGTAGAGAAGAGAGTCTAAAATTAAGCCCTGAAGAGCTACAGTATTTGAGACTGGCAAAGGACAAGGGAAACCTTCTTAAGTCAAGAAATCCTGAAGCTATAAAACAAAGACAGATTCAACTATATCTAAAATTTTAAAACTGTTGCATGGCAAAAAATACTATAAACAGAGCCAATATATAAACAATAGATTTGGGGGAAGTGTTTGTAATGTAGATGACAAGGTTCAACAAATACAATACATAAAGAGATAAATTGGTAAGTCAGACTAATTGCAGACTGGACAAAGGATATGAATAGGCTAGGTACAGAAAAAGAAATTTAGATAGCCAAAAAATGTATTTTTTAAATGCTCAATGTTAGGGAAATTATTGTAACAATGAGATCAGAAAAAATTAAAGAGAGTCATTGATATATTCATGTCTGAGATGCAGAAGAAAGGGTATCCTCTTACACTTCGATGATGAAAATAAGCATTACAAATTCTTAGAAAAACAATCTACAGCATTTATTGAATTAAAAATTCTATCTCAGTTCAAAGACAGGCCAAAACAAGTATGTATAGTTTTAGAAGCCCATATAAATGCTCACTTTAGGGGGGAGCTAGTGAGTGGGAGTGGAACAACAGGAATTTCTGGGAAGATGGTAATTTTTTTATTTTTTGATTTGGGCGCTGTTACAAAGATGTAAGCAAAGATTTCACTTTGTGAAAGTTAAGCTGTATGCCAATACAATTTTGGACCTATATATATATATAATGTGGGTATATGTTAAATTTCAATATTTTGAAATGTACTTAAAGTTTTTTAAACACACCACACACACATACTCTTCTCTTGGGACTCTATCCCATATAAATAAAGCCAACAGTATTAAAGGGTATATGTACAAGGATGTTTATTGCAGCATTGTTCACAGTGGAAAAAGAACCTAGAAATTGCAAATGCCCATCTACAGAGAAGTGACTGAATAAATTATTATACAGCCATTCAGATGAAGGAATTGGAGAGCTCTTCATGAGGTATTTTTGAGTGAGACAAAATCAAATTGCAGAAGAGTGGGTATAATATAATCTGAGATTGTAAAACAAACCAAAAAAATGACAAAATACCCTATATAATGTGTGTATATGATTATACAAGCATTGAGAGAGATGGAAATTTACAAAAAGATTAACTACTAGTGGGAAAGGGGAGTGAGGCTGATGGAGGGAGAAGTAACCAAAGTTCAAGAGAAAGTAAGATTCCACTTTAAAAAAATAAACACTTATAATCACATTTATGCATATATATAAAATTCTATATTGAAAATTTACAAAGAAAAAAATATTATTAGAGGAGAAAGTAAAACAGACTGAGGAATCTTTTGAGATGATAGTAAAAAATCCTAAGATGTAGAAGGCAAGACAAGAAACTGCAAAATAGGAGTAGTCATCTATGTAGAATTGCTGCTGAGAGGATGAGAAGCATGAGAACTGAAAAATGCCCATTAGATTTGGCAACATGGAGGATTTTTTTTTTTTTTTTTTTTGGTGACATTAACAAAAATCAGTCTCAATGAAAAGATAGGGCAGACACCATATTAAAGTGGGTGAAGAGTTAGTTGGGAGGGGAGTAAATGTGGCATATGTAAGGCTGACCAACAACTCTCTTGCTAAAAAAACTGTTAAACTATAAAATACATCTTGTTGAAGGCACTAGAAAACTAAAGAGGCAGTGATGATGTAGGAGAAGCCAGAAAAGTGAGCCTGGCATTTGGAGCCACTTAACCCTGGGAATATTTGCTGATTCCAGAATAGGAGCCAAGAGTCTGAGCAGCACTTTTGACAGCCTTGGAGGGCTAGGGAGACAAAAATTGAAGTCCAGGAATGCTAAGGGTGGGGCACCCTGACGAAACTCACATTTTGGGCTGGGCTCCCAAAGAGCAGCACTTAAAGAATGACAATAAAGAGCTGATCTGCCCTTGGAGACACTGAAGCCCAGAATGAAAATCTCAATACCTTAAATTACAGTTACCTTGGATGTAAGTACCCAGCATAAAACTAAAACAACAAGCAGAGACATGACAACATGAATAGGAGCAAGCAGAAGTAACCAACAGAAAGAGGGGCTACAGATTAAGCATTATTAGATGTAAAGCTTAATTATGTTTAATATTTTCAAGGTAGTAAGTCAGAATTTCAAGAGAAGAGGAAAATAAAGGACATAAAACGCAGAACAAGCCAAAGAACACACAGACAAAGCAATGGATGAACTTAAGAAGGTTACACAAGAGCACAATGACAAATTTAACAGTCTGAAAGAATCCACAGAGAGCAATCAGAAATCCAGAAGATCAACAATAAAATTTCAGAATTAGACAACTCAATAAAAGTCATAGGGGCAGAATTGAGGCAATGGAAGTCAGAATTAGTGAGACTGAAGATAAAGCACTTGATACCAACTTATTTCAGGAAAAATTAGATAAAAGAATTTAAAAAAATGAAGAAACCCTAAGAATTATGTGGAACTCTTATCAAGAGGAATAACCTACGAGTGACTGGAGTACCAAAACAGAGGAAGTAACAGAAAATACAGAGAGAATTGTTGAAGAATTGTTGGCAGAAAACTTCCCTGATATTGTGAAACATGACAAGATATCTACCCAAGATACTCATTGGACCCCACACACGGTAGATCCCAAAAGTCACCAAAACATATTCTAATCAAACTTGAGAAAACTAAAGATAAAGAGAATTTTAAGAGTGACTAGGAATAAACTAAAAGTCATCTACAAAGGACAGTCAATAAAAGTAAGCCCTGACTACTCAGCAGAAACCATGCAGGCAAGAAGGCAAATAATGGGATGGCATATACAAAGCCTTGAAGGAAAAAAATTGCCAGCCAAGAATTATATATCCAGCAAAACTGTCTCTCATATATGATGGTGAAATTAGGGCATTTCCAGATAAACAGAAGTTTAGGGAATTTGCAAAAAACAAACCAAAATTACAAGAAACACTAAAGGGAGTCTTCTGGTTAGAAAATCAATAACATCAGATAACAACCCAAGACTAGAATACAGAACAGAGCAACCAGATATCAACCCAGATAGGGAAGTCACAAAAATAAATCAAAGCTAAAACACTGAAAATAGCTAAAACCCAGACAGGGAAGTCACAAAAATAAATCAAAGCTAAAACACTGAAAATAGGGAAACAGAAATGTCAATATGTAAAAGATGACAACATTAAAACAAAAAAGAGGGACTAAAAAATGCAGTCATAGATCTTTCATATGGAGAGGAAGTCAAGGCAATATAAGGAAATAAAAGAGTGGTTTAAACTTAGAAAAATAGGGGTAAATATTAAGGTAACCACAAAGTAAGCTAACAATCCTACATATCAAAATGAAAAACAAGAAAAATATAAAGACTCAGCAAATACAAAATCAACAACAATGAAAAAGATGAAAAGAAAATACATAAAGAAAAACAACTCAGCACAGAAAATTAAGTGGAACAAAGAAACTGTCAACACACAAAGACATCAAAATGTCAGCACTAAACTCTTACCTATCAATAATTACGCTGAACGTAAATGGACTAAATGCGCCAATAAAGAGACAGACAGTGGCAGTTTGGATAAAAAAACACGGTCCATCTATATGCTGCCTACAAGAGACACACCTTAGACTCAAAGACACAAATTAAAACTCAAAGGATGGAAAAAAATGTATCAAGCAAATAACAATCAAAAAAGAGCAAGAGTGGCAATATTAATCTCTGACAAAAGAGACTTTAAAGTAAAATCCACCACAAACCATAAGGAAGGACACTATATAATCATTAAAGGGTCAATACACCAGGAGGACATAACCATAATGAATATTTACGTACCCAACGACAGGACTCCAAAATACATAAAATAAACTCTAACAGCATTGAAAAGATAGACAGCTCCACAATAACAGTAGGAAACTTCAACACACCACTATCGGTGAAGGATAGAACATCCAGAAAGAAGCTCAATAAAGACACAGAAGATCTAAATGCCACTCAACCAACTTGATCTCATAGACATACAGAACACTCCACCCAACAGCAGCCAGGTATACTTTCTTTTCCAACATATGTGGAACATTCTCAAGAATAGACCACATATTAGGCCATAAAGCAAGCCTCAACAGAATCCAAAGCATTTAAATATTACAAAACGTCTTTTCTGACCATAAAGCCATAAAAGTAGAAAACAATAACAGAAACAGAAACAAACAAACAAAAAAAAAAATCAAACACATGGAAACGGAACAACACCTTGCTCAAAAACTGGGTTATAAAAGAAATTAAGGACGGAATAAAGAAATTCACAGAATCAAATGAGAATGAAAATGCAACCTACCAGAACCTTTGGAACACAGCAAAAGCAGAGCTCAGAGGTCAAATTATAGCAATAAATGCACACACCCAAAAAGAAGGGCCAAAATCAAAACATTAACCTTACAACTCCAACAAATAGAAAGGGAGCAGCAAAAGAGGCCCTTAGGCACCAGAAAAAGCAAATAATAAAAATTAGAGCAGAATTAAATGAAATAGAGAATAGAAAAACAACTGAAAGAGTTAACAAGACCAAAAGCTGGTTCTTTGAAAAGATCAACAGAATTGATAAACCACTGGACAGCCCGACGAAAGAAAAACAGGAGAGGAAGCAAATAACCTGAATAATAAATGAGATGGGCCATATCACGACAGACTCAACTGAAATTAAAAGAATCACAATACTATGGAAAATTGTACTCTAACAAATTTGAAAACCTAGAGGAAATGGACAAATTTCTAGAAACTCATTACCTACCTAAACTAACACAGAGGTAATCCATCAAAAGAATCCCAACAAAAAAAAAAAGCCCTGGTGAAAAAAAATTAATGCAGGGACTTCCAGCAACATGGCGCTCTAGGCAAAAGCACCACACCATCCCTCCGCAGCAAAGATCTGAAAAACTAAGCCTAACAGAGAAAACAGCAATCCTGTAATCCTAAACATCAAATGAAGAGATAAAGAACTCAGCCAAGCACCAAATGGAATAAGAAACTGACAGAGAACAGAGAGCGAGGAGACATACATGGAGAGGTCCCCTACCAACTAATGCATCACGGATCTGCCATCTTGGACTCCTATCAGAGACCAGCAAATAGGGGGTACGAGAAAGCAGCTTCACAGAGATTCCAGCAGGAGACAGAACAACCGGTAAACAGTGATATACGCTTTCCTACCCCCTACCCTTCTTCACCCCCACTCAGCCTACTCTGCTTCCTGCGGCCACAGTCTCTTGGCTGGGAAACACTGGCTGCTTGGATTCCACCCGCCCACACTGGCCAACTCCCTAAGTGCCATTTGTTGGCTGCTGGTGTTGCTTTTTTCCGCTTCTTTTGTTTTCTTCCTTACCTCTCACCATCTCCCCCTCCTTTTGCTCAAATACCTGGCTCCGTGCGCCATCTTTGCTTCTTCCTGAGGGGCTGTGGAGCTCCGTTAAGAGTGTGGAACTGCTTTCTTGTCTGTGCTGCCACACTGGTGGGATCCCAGGACTTTTTCTTGTTTGTTTTCTTTTTCTTTTCTTGAGATGGGAGACTGTTCTGGCCGGGCAGTGCTGTGCGGGTTGGGACCTACCCCCTCAGCTTGCACAGATGCGCAGAGGGATCCCTGAGGGCATTTCTTTTTTCGTGGGTTTTTTTTTCCTGTTTTTTTGGGGGGTTTTACTTGTTCTTTTTTCTTTTTAATTTGTTTTGTTTTCTTTTCCCTCTTTTTCCCTTTTTGTCTTTCTGCATTACTCAGTTTCCCGTCTCTCTACACCTTCCTTCTCTTCCTGTCCTCTGGATACCTGGTGCTGAATATCTCTATGCCTCCTAGCTAGGCTGTGCTTCAACACCTGGGAACAACTTCCCCAGACCTCGTAGCCACACCACTGGGATCCCTGGGAGCTTTGCTGTTCTTTTTTCTTTCTAATTTTTATTTATTTGTTTTTTCTCTTCCCCTTTTTGTTTTTCTCCATTTCATAGTCTCTCATCTCTCCACTCCAACGACAAGCTCCCCTAGCACTCTTTTTTGTTTGTATGTTTTTGGCTCCTGTTCCTCTCTCCTCTCTCCCATACCCATCTTAGCTACACACATCACAATCTCCCCCCTCCATCCTACGTACCTTCTCCATGCGCTTAACATCACACCACCAAGCAGCACAGGCATGTACTACCGGAGCCTCCCCTGCACTGATTACTGACCCGCCCTGGTGGCTGTAGTAAGTGCCACAAACAACCCAGCCCAGCAACTCCTCTTCAGCTAGACCTGCCCTGCTGTACCATATCTGAGCGACTGACACAGCCAATTCGAGGAGGCGAAAAGTATCATGCCCACAGACTAGCAAACAACAAAGAACACACAGCCCGCCTGCTCAGACATAGCCAAATGAAAAAGAGACAAAACAAACAAATCTACAATCAACAAACAAGAAAAATAACTACTGAATGTCCCGAAGACAGCAGACAATATCAAAACATTTACAAAAACAG